TCCTGATCATTTTGGTTGCTTGTCTGCCCGATTGTGTCTTGTTCTGTGTCTGAGAGCTTTAGATTCTGCAGTCCTCCAGCTACTGAGCCTTCCAGGGGCCATTGGCGATGCTCCTCCCCCCTCCACCAACTGCCTCTGGGTCTGGGATCTTTGATCTTTGATCCTTATCTATTGATCTTAGTCTGGTTTCCAGGCCTTAGTGGTAGAAGCTTTTCTCCAGGAGGATTTGCTTTGCTTCTGCCCCTTCTGGTTTCCAGGGGTTGGATGTTCCCCTGCAGCCTCCTTCAAGGTGGGCTTGAATCAGGACCCTAGGTCAGCCTGGGGGTCCCAGGTACACTGCCCCGCCTCCCCAGCCCGGGCTTGGGTGTTCTCCCTGCTGCTCATGGGCCCAGCCCCCTACCAGTGCCCAGTGCCTTGTGAGGCCAGTGACACCTGCCGCAGGGTCAAGGTCTAGCCTGAGTTGGAAGTTCAGGAAGCAGGCGGTGTCTGTGGAGATTTTCGTTTCTGCTGTCCTGATTGTGATTTCCAAGAGCCCAGCTTGGGTTTTTTGTTTGTGGATGTGTCAGCTACCTGAGCACTCCCGAATCTTAGCCACAGCTCTGTGGGTTTCTCTTCTGCTTATTTGGTTTCCTCCCAGTTGTGTCTTCCTTCCTGCCTACCTTCCTTCCTTCCTGCCTTCCTTCCTCTCTTCCTCCTCTTCCCTCCCTCCCTCCCTTTTTTTCTTCTTTTCCCTTTCTCTGTTTTCCCTGTCTGTCTTTTCCGTTACCCAGCGAGCCCTGGGGGCCCACTGGAAGCTCATAGCCAGATGGGCTGCTCAGCTTGGGTCTCTTGTTGGGACCCTGATTTCAACACTTTAGGTCCTCCCTTGAGCCTGTCAGATTCACCCAGAAGATTCTTCTGGCTTCCAGCCTAAAGTGCAAAAGCCAGCCGAAGGTCGTGGGGCTGTCTCAGGGCTCACAGTGAGAGGAGCTTGTCTGGGTCTCCGGTGCTTCTCCAATAGCGATTCCTCCTTATTTTCTGGCCCCTCACGTCCTACCCGCACTGCTCCGCCTCCTAAAGACTCAGCCTGGCCTGGCTAACCCTCACTGTCTGTCCCTGTCCCCGGGTTGCCAAGGCCCACATCTTTCTCCGAATCTCTGTCAAACAAGGCCGAGGCAGGCACCCCCCACTCCCAGGGGCCCCCAGGACCGCAGGGTGGAGGACTGCCTGCTGGGGCAGCTCAGAGGGAGCAGCAGGTGAGGGGTCAGGGAGGGCGGGCAAGGAGGGACAAGTTCAGTGTTCAGATTCGGAAAGGTGCTGCTGACACTGCCTCCCTCCCTCCTCCTTCCCTCTCCGTCTCTCTTTCTTTCTTTCTTTCTTTTCTTCCTTCCTAGCTTTTATTCCTGCATTCTTTGGCAGTTAATCCAGCCTGAAGTCTGAATTCATAATAAAACAAAGGTTTGGCTAACTTAGAGGAAGTCTGGTCTAAACATCCACCCATGTCTGCAGATGCGTCAGCTCCCCCAGTTAGCCGGGAACCCCCACATCGGCCCCCTTGCTGTTTCTGACACTGACACTGGAGTTTTGCATTTTAGGTAGAGTTCTTTTTTCGGTTATGAATTTCAAGTTTACAGAACAGTTCAGAACATGGCACGATGCCTGCTCACGGGCCTCTGTGCACTTTCTGAGTGCTGACGCACTTCCTGGGGCCACATCTCTGACCTCGCCCCCCCAGATGAGAAAGTCCCTGGCTGGCACTCATGTTTTTCATTCTCAGGCAGCTTTTTGTATTTTTATTCCTAAACAGTGCATGATATTTGTGGCATATTTAGCAACTTTGTGTGGAGCCATATTGTATGTTTTCTTCTGTTCTTTTCTGTCTTTTTGATGCTCTGACAGTTTTATAATTTATGCTGTTGGCACCTGTGGCCGAGGCCCTCACTTTCCAGCTGCTGGCATTTGTCCTGTGAACGTGCCACTATTTGTTCTGGGTTGACGGTGTTGTCTAGGTTGTTTTTTGTTTCTGTTGTGTAGGATTTAATCTTAGAAAATGAATGGAGAGATACTCAGGTTTGTCATGCATAAGCACATTTAGTTTTTTGCAAGGTAGTCATAGCAAGGTTTGCAAGTAAGACCTCACAACATTCATGTGGAACCGGAGAATCAGAATTAACAACTGCAGCATTAGTTCAGTGGTTAGAGCCCAGATCTTTAGACTTCAGGCGTCTACCATTAACAAGAGGTCTCGGGAGGAAGGCTTAACTATGGCTCGAGTTCAGCAGAGGTCCCTCAAGCTAGGGTCCAAGGTTGGTGGCGGCAGACAGAATCTCAGTTCCATCTCTGCCTTCTCTCAGTGAGTGAGCAGACATTTAGGGTTTATATGTGAATTTGTCACTTTGGCTCCACTCCACAAGGGCCAGAATTAGACAGTAGCTGAATGATGCATCTTTTCTTTAATGTTAGAAATTAGGGAGGTGGTTTAAATTTGTTATGTTTTCTTGTGTCACAGCATGCCGGGGCAGAGTGAACTTAAAGATTGTTTACGTTTTTTACATACTTCACATGCTTCCATGTTTCTATATTTAAGTTCAGACATTTTCTAAATAACTTTCTTATGACTTACAGATTTCTAATGCCTTCGAGTTGGCCCTGACTCACAGTGACCCCATACACGACAGAACAAAATGTTGCCTGGCCCTGAGCCATCCCCATGATTGATTGGGGATCAGACTGTTCTGATCCATAGGATTTTCACTGGCTAATTTTTGGAAGTAGATCTCCAGAACT